ATTTTAGATCCCAACATTAGGTTTCTCAGCATTGGAGTTACTGACGTTTTGGATGGCATGACATTTTGTTTGGGGGACTGTGCTGTGTATGGTAAGGTATTCGGCAGCATCTCTGGTCTCTATCCGGTAGATGCCAGGAGCACCCCCACCTTCAGTTATGACAATCAAAGGTGTCTTCAGACATTGGCAAATGTCCCCTGGGGGATCAGAATCAACCCCTAACTCCTCAACCTTTGAAAACAACTGCTTTGGATGTATCACTTCTTTTGTTGGGATATATCATCTAATTGGGATTTGCCACTTTTAGGGAAACTCGGTCACTTTTTTCTTTTAATGAATAAATTTACACAGTGCTTGATGTTTTGATTCTATTCTGACCTCTAATTTTATATTTTTATTGCTTCTGTTTCCTTTCTTTTCTATCTTTTGTTAAATGGAAAATACATTTTCTCTGGGTGTGTATGTGTGTGTGTCGTATTCCTTTTTCTGAGAAGTTAAAAGGTTTATAATTGGTTCTCCATCTTCCAGTGGTTGTGAAGGTAACTTTGCATCATGTGTTGACATCTTTTATTTTTTAAAAAATCAGCTGAACTACTGCTTACCAGCTCTCAAACATGAAAAAGATAATACACTCATACCTCCTTCCACCTTTGACAGAGGCGTAATTTTGCTAGCTGTTTAAAAAGCTTATTTGGTTGCTCATTTTATTAGAGTTAGGGAGAGTCAAGATTCTGTGGTGTCCTTATCTCATAAATCCTCATCATCACCTTGTACCTTTACTTTCCCCTACAGTTTGAAAACATATATTTTATATATATCCTAGTATATATCTACCCATCATCTACATACATAGATATATAGAGTATAAAGTATATACATACACACACTTTGTATTTACATACTATATATATCTATACACACATACATATATTTCCTTTCATCAACAGAGCATTCCATCAAATAATTATTTATATTTCAACCCCAAATGATAGAGTTTTGCCAACAGTTGTCACTTTAGTTAATCCCTGAATATCAGCACATATATTACACTAGTAAGCCATGATGCACTTAATGAATAAGTAAGGAAAAAGATAGATGGACATGTCACAGCTAAGATATTTTAGACATGTTCTAATAGAAAAATGTATTGGAGGATGATGGGAGTGCAGACTGGAACCAGAGGATATTACTTCCTGTGAAGAACCTGCTCTATTTCTCAATCTGAATTTGCTCATTATATTGAGAAAGATGAAGAGTGGAGAAAGGCTGGGGTGACAGTGCGTCAGCACACGTATGGCTCTATGAGTTATCGCAACATCCAAATACTTGTCTCAGGATACACACAGATTTGTTTCCCTGACTCCTCCTGAAGGCTCCAGCCCCTCCTCTGGGACCCCCACTGTCTCATGACAATGGAACAATTAAAGAACTGATGCCTGTCGGTTCCAGGAAACTCAAGGACACTGGTCTATTGCTAAAGCTTTCTGTTCTGTTTGGTGGTGCCTGTGATAATTATAAAATATAAAAGTATCCCTTGAAGAAGACATGGCTCAGAGTCCCATTTCCTATTAGACAATCAATCTCTCCCTCTCACTGGACGTGAGCATGCTTCAGATCTACTTCCCATTAGGCAAAGAATAAACCCCCTTACCCTCCAGATACACACACACACACACACACACACACACATATACACATACATACACACAATACAGAAACATCAAGAATCTTTTACAAGGTAAGTTATTATCTGCAACACTCAGCATCAGTAAATAGCGAAATATTTGATGCTTTTGCTTGAAAAATAAATGTAATCTCAAAGACACATCATCCTTGGATCTGGCATTGTCTTATAGCAGGCATTAAAATTTGTCCAAAGGTACAGATGGTTCAAAACAAGCATGTGATAGAAACTCATGGGCTAAGCTAACACAGAGAACTCACAGAACTAGATCAGAGGATATGAATATCTTATTAGTGAGAAAAAGAAAAAAGAAATTACAGGAGAAATTTCCCAATGCTTCCACTATTGCTTTCTTATATAAGGAGCAAATGCCTTCAAGACACTGCTGACAGATTAAGAACTTGGGTTCTGGAGTCACTTAGGGAAGTTGATGATTTGCAAAGTCCTAGCAAGAGATAAGCACTGAACTTAGGAGGGGGAAATGTATACCATAATATGCATAAGTTAATGTAAATGTTAGAATGTAATCAAATCATTACTTTTGTTTATCCTGAAAACAGTGTAATTCCAGAAAGCCACATTGTGATCATCTTTTCTGCAACGTGCCTTTTGCATTTTCTGATACTTTATGTTAAAAACAACACATATGGGGGGGGGAGGGACAGACTGGGATTTCAAAATTTGTAGATACTGACAGGCATATGCAGAATAGATAAACAAGATTACACTGTATAGCACAGGGAAGTGTGTACAAGATCTTGTGGTAGCTCTCAGCAAAAAAAAATGTGACAATGAATATACTTATGTACATGTGTAACTGAAAAATTGTGCTCTACACTGCAATTAGACACAAGATTGTAAAATGACTATAACACAATAAAAAATTAAAAAATACACATATCCTATCTGATCTATTAACCCGAGGTTTACAATTTTAAATCCATAAGCATTATGCCTTTAGTCATTTTTAAATTTCATGCAGTAGACATTTTTCAAGTCATGTCAAGTATTTTAAGTATTTTTGCATCACTAATGATGGAAGAAAAAAATATTATTTCAAACTTAAAAACAGATAAACAAAAGAAAACATAAAGAACAAACCAGCTTCGCTCCTAGTTAGGAATGAAATCCAAACTTCTGCTACTTAGTGTTAAAAATTAGAGCCCTTTAGAAAGGATGACAAACCTGTTTATTAGTTTCAGGTACTAAAAATATCATGGAGCCTCTCACATCATTTGAGCTATTTACTCAGCTAATCGACAGAAAACAATCACATTTAATCCTAAACCCTCAAACAAAAAACGGCAACAAGTGAATTTTCGTAAATGGAAATGGACATGTCCATTCTGTGAATTTCTTGATTGCTCTAAACTGAGGGCAGGTTTTGATGAAGAGAAAGATCTGCAAAAGAGCACATATGAAAACTAAGGTGAAAAGGGGGTAACGTGTGGGGAGAAAATACAGGACAACTATGACTTTTACATAAAACATGTCTTTTGCATTATTTAGATATTGCAATATTCCTTAAACAGGAAATATGGGGTTGTGAAGCAGCAAGGTACCACACAAGAAATTTTTACAGAGAAACATGTACCTCTTTGGAGCCAAATAAATCAATTCGCCTCTACTGAATAAACACAACTCAGGTTTTCTTAGATGACTCTTTTCCTGGCCAGCTACAAAAGCTGCAGCACCTTTAAATTTTAAGATTAAGTCATCAGTTCTTGTGGCAGGTTTCCTTACCCTGAAGTTTCTAGGAGAGCAGGGAAACGTAGGGTGGCATTAATCTCTAACACATGGCACTGCTGTCTTCATCATTCATACTTTGTGGGGGGTGGGAAATGAATACCTAGCATAAGCCTATGGACTCCTCCCCCAGCTTTAGGTTGACAGAGCCTGTACCATCGCGCTTGAGTCATATGATTCAAAATCTAATACTGCTTCAGCTAAGGCAATTAAGAAGGTAGTTTTTGAGTGATGTTAGTCTTTGTTGAGATTTTTAAGTCCCCATAAGAGCACTGAGTCAGGTAATTGCCAAAGCACAAATGCAGCAGTAGCAACTATGGAGAAAGTAAATGCCATAGAAAGACATTTTTTTAAAAAAAATTACCTCACCTGTCAGTTTACCATAAGAGACATATGGCAACACTGAAACTAAAGGTCACAGTCTGCTTTAGATGCAGAGACTTAAAAATTAGAGAAAGTCGTCAGCAGCTTAGTTTGTATTCATTACAGTCATTCCATTCAGGAAACCTCTAAAAGGCAAGTGGAACTTTTGAGCCCATGAAAGATGAATTTTTGCAATCTTGGCTCTAGAGTGGCTCGAGGTCGGAGAAATAAAGCGATCGTAAGTTACTAACAGTTTGCCCACCCCTATCTGTGAGGGAAGTGGAAATGACTGCCAGGAACTTTGTTTTACTGCATTATGTGCCAGGATGCATGTGTGTTTGCCCTTGAAAAATCACCGAGTCACTTCCCAGATTAGATCCCCTAACCTCAAGGGTGATGTTTTTGTTCATCTTAGATGAGGTGGCAATGTGTGTTAAAGGATGCATTTATCAGCCTTCTTCACACTCCTCCTCATTTCTCTCGAAACAATAATCCTTTCAGCATCTAACCTGACTAATTACTTCTATATCCTTGACATTCAATCGCTCCGATCCTCCATTTTTCAATCTGTAAACTGGGGATGAAAATATAACTTTACATACATGTTAAAATCGAAAGAGATAAACAAATGAAAATGTACGTTTTACCATACAGATATGTCATTTTTAAAAGGCCAAAACCCAGTGTGTAAGATCAAGAAAAAATAAGGGAAATATATTGAGTATGTAACAGGAACTGAAAAACTTACTCATCCTTATTCTATATTTCGGGGTATTCCCTGTGTAAGTTTTGAAATCTTGACTTCACCCAGCAATAGTGGGTGAAAAAAAGAATACCCTTTGATAATACATTAGACACCTTAGTGAGAAATAATGCTATATTTAAGAAACTGCAGAGGCATAAAAGTAAATTTTAAAGTATATGACTTCTGTGATTTTACAGGTCCTCCAACCCAAACTAGTCTCCAGATCTCACCTTCATTATCTCTCATTTCCTTTCGGTCTAATTAATCAAAATCCTTCCAAGATGTTCATTTCTGGCCAGTATGTCTTCCTGAATATGAATAAGAAATAAAATACCATTCGATGTTTGAAATTATGGGGGTAATCTCAATGACGAAAATAGATGACGGGCAAAAGGAAGGGAATGCCTGATTAAATCTATTCATGAAGATGTCAAAGGCTTATAAAGCCAATATCTGGGAAAGAGAAAGCTGCAGGACTACCAGATCTCTGGTGGAGTGTGTTTCTCGAAATCATCACCACCATGGACAACAAAGGGTCATCACAGAAAGGTAGGTGCAGCAACTCACTGAGCTGTTGGCTTTATCAACACTCCTGCGGGGGTATTACTTTGAAATTTTAGCTAATACTCTCTTCACAGGAGGTTTCATGATTACACAGTTTACAAAATTGATCTAATCATAATCAGAAAGCAACTGTATAGAGGGCACAGGAGAAGAGGACCTTCCAGAGACATTTGGTTAAGTCTAGAGATGTTTTTGGTTGTCTTAATTCAGGGAAGGATGCTATTGGTCTCTAGTGGCATAGAGGTCAGAGATGCTGCTAAATATACTACAATGCACAGGACAGCCCCCAGAACAAGGAATGATCCAGCTCAAAAATGCCAATAATGCCAAAGTTGAGAAACTCGGGACTGAAATAAGACCAGAAGTGTCTCCGAGTCTAATTGATCAAAACTCTAGAAGGCAGAAACTAACATTTTCTAGTTCCCAGGCCTCTTATGTGGTTTGGCCAAGATGAGTCAGCCTGATAAAACTTTTAACTCTGCAGCCATAATATAGACAATGATAGCAAAGTTGTCTCCTACAGTACTTTGTTGATTGGGTTTAAGCCAAATAACATTTTAAAAGGAAAAACAGGCTAGTAATAACTAATTGCCTTCACTTTCTTGGTTGACATTTGTAAGAAAAAGAAATTAGTAACAACCATAAAATTTATTTTATGAAACAACAAAAACATTTATTTTATCTCATTTTGGACTGTGAAAATCCTTCAGATAATGAAGGTACAGATAAATGTAGTCAGAGTTAAAGAATATCTATCCAGTTATGAATTTCCTAGAACTAATGTTCCAATTTCTCTATCTGCAAAGCACTCTTTATTTATACTTGGAGATAAGACACCTAATCAGCTGTTACATGACTACAGCGTACCTAAAATAAACTCTTTGGAAACAACATGTTTTTGAAAAATTAAGTCTGTTACATGAATCATCTCACAGCATTAGTATTTTTTACTTTGCAGCTAAAAGCTGATTAGTTACACTCTATACTACATCATTTTTTAAGATATTTTTAGATATTTAGGGTTAGGTATTTTTTTTAACCACAAATCTTAGCACTTCCCCAGTTTTATCTTGGACACTTCCAATTACATATATTGAAGATTCCACAGGAAATTAGCTTTCTGATAAACACATTTTCATATTAAATATTCCTTTGGAGCAGTCTGAAGTTAAAAACTGATTTTAATACATTGTTTCTTTCCTTTTGAAAGTATAAATAATTATTTGTCCATCTGCTAAGATACCAAATTGGTGGCTAGATCATCTCTGATAACTGTCAAAGATTTTAAAAATGAACAAGAAGATAAAATCAGCTTTCTAGGGTCACTGTTAATCATGTAATCAAAGGCAAAACATTGTTCTTTACAAGTAATTGCAATGATCTCTGCAAACTATGAGTCTTCACAGATAGTGACATGGTCCCTATTACACATATGCAGACAGAGCCCACACACGTGTGATGTGACATGAGGAAGTGAAAAGATAACAGTACTGGCGTCGAGCCACTTCCACCTGCTAATAATGGGACTTAGGGGAAATCACATACCCTAATCCTTATTTCATTAATATAATTTGATGATAATAATGAAGGTCAAGGCTATCTCACAGGGTTATTGTCAAACACAATTTTTTAAAAATTTTAAAGCTTTGGGCAAAGTATCAAGGAAACGTATAAAATACAATAAATGTATAAAATATAAAAGGGTTATAAAGGTGAGTTAGCGTATCTAGGCTACAGCATCCTTTGTATCTTAGACTTCTCTTTGAACTCAATATTAGCAATCAATCTGTCATGTGTTTATTCTTATCAGGCATGAAGGTAAACCAGAAAGATCAACTGTTCTCTTCTGGCTGTTTCAGTGTCTAAAATGCAAATGGTAGTCAACACAGAGTTAAAAAATGACAACTCCTAGCGAGCCGGGCTGCTGAAATCTGCAGAAACTCCCAACACATTAAACTATCTTAAGAGAATGACCTAAACACTTTGGCTGAGAATTAATTTAAGCTCCAAATGTTTGCAAAGCACAGAAGCACTTCTGGGAACAATACAAAAATGCAGGGAGCAACCTACTTCTCAAACTGTATATTTGTGCAAATATAATTATGTATCTAAATTTACAGAGTGGAAGGTGTTGATTCTTCCACGCCCCAGCTATTACAGCACCAAATCATGCTGAGGGCAACGGGAGAGATAAGGGTTCCCTGGACAGGACGGCTTTTGATAACCTCAGCTGAACAGATCATCTCAGAGTGGCTCTGTTTTTATTTAAGCAGGGTCGCTCTTGTTCCTGCTGCTGCTGGTGTCAAATCTGCTCTTGTGCAAGAGCGTGGCCTCCCTGCCCATCTGTCCCAGCGGGGCTGTCAACTGCCAGGTGTCCCTTCGAGACCTGTTTGACCGCGCAGTCATCCTGTCCCACTACATCCATAACCTCTCCTCGGAAATGTTCAATGAGTTTGTAAGTACCACACTTCTGGCTTCTTTCCAGAAGGAACCTTCATGTGAGTGGCTGGGCTACACCACACTCTAAACAAGAAAGCTACATCAGCCAAATTTCAAATAATACACCTTATGGGTAGAAGAATGCATCAGCTCATAAGATGCAGAAGAAAGGGTCAGTTCTGTGAAATCTCGAAGATTCTTCAAGAGTGTACTAATTTTTTTTAATTTCCTTTAATTAAGTTTTTAATTGGAAACAATTACTGTTTTTCATGAAGGTACTTTGCAAGTTGTATGTTAACTCTTTTTAGGTCAAAGAGCAGGCAGTAGAGCAGACAGCTCATAAAATATGTGGCTCAGTGTTTGTAGTAAATGTATATTCATGTAGTTCTTTTTACTCACTAGTTTTTCTTTCATTCTCCATTTTTTGACTGGCCTTTTTTTCCAAATCCTCCAAGTAATCTCTTTAAATTTTCACATATTTTGCTGAAGTTCAGTTTTTCTCTATTAATGTGTCAGCTAGATTTGTCTATTCTTACTCTCAGTCTATTGCTTAGTATTTCTTAGATTTTTATGCCATGCTTTTCTGACTTACCGTTTGGGTCACAAAACTGTATTCTGCATCTAAGATGAACATTAAGCTAGAGGTGTGTGGACTCAAAGAAAAGTTATAATCTTATAATTTCTGTTAAGGGAGCATATTTTTCTGGCACATAGTAAGCAAGAGATTAAATGGCTAAATATAGGTACATATGCACTATACTTAGTTCAAATACTGAAAAAAGATACTGAATAAAATATTTAACATTTCATATTTTGTGTATTTTTAGTGTTTGCTAGCCAAATAATAACTTGTGGGTGGGGGAAATTAAAAAAGGGAATAGCAAAGAAGGGATAGAAACGTCAGATGAAAAAAATTTGTTTATACAGATAACGGAAAGAAAAAGTAGGAAAAAGAATGACTTTTTGTGCAGCTCTCATTTTAAAAATTACACATCTATCAAATGTGTCCATATTCTGGTAGTGGGTTCATTTCATTCAATACCCAAACGACTCTAACTAATTGCACTTGCTTGACCACTTTCAGGACAAACGGTATGCCCAGGGCAGAGGATTCATGACCAAAGCCATCAATAGTTGCCACACCTCTTCTCTCTCCACCCCTGAAGACAAAGAGCAAGCCCAACAGATCCATGTGAGTTTGAGTTTTTCACCCAAATGAAATAGTACACAGGTGTTACCAGGCTGCAGATTACTAGAGGCAGTGTTATCAGGTAACAGTAACTGCTCTGTATCAGGTAAAGCTAACTGCACATGCAGATAAATGTGGAGGAAGAATGAGCAAAGAGAAATGGCACTACGTAGCTGACGAAGTATGAGCAAAATCAAGTGCTGACTAAAGACGTGTAGCAGCCAAACAAGTAACAGATCTACAAATTGTCCATGCATTATTTTAATCCATGCAGTAGACTGAGGATTGCATATATTATACTGTGTGAAAGCATGAACCACACTGGACTTCCATGTATAAAACATTAGATTTTCAAAATTCATGGATATGTGAGAAATACAAACCCAGGTTCATTTATTCCTTGTTACCAGTGACTCCTCCATGAGCAGCATTTAACACAACAGACCCCTGCACCACTCGAGCCATCTCCTCTAATTTTCAAGGTTCTCCTGATTCTATTTCTATTTCTCTGACACCTACTTCTTTCTTCATTCTTCACTGACTCCTCTGTCACCTCTTATTCTTAACTGTAAGTCTCCCCCTAAATCAGGTCCTAAAAAATATTGTTTCGCTTCTCACAGCTACAGCCATGGCCTCTCCTTTGATGACAACAAAGTCTGCACATCAAGCTCTGATCATTCATCCTAGCTCGTTTTTTTTTATCATCATCTCTCCCTTCTGATTCTCTGCCCCAACCACAGCCTTAACATGACTTAAATATTTTCATATATATCTCTCCCTTAAATACAGTCTGTTCTCTAAGACTTTGCTAATGACACCAGCATTCTGTCTATTAAGCTCATAAATAATTAGGATGATGATGACAATAAAATGAAGGAAGAAGGTGAAGATGGAGAAAACTTTTTTAATAAATTTAACATTTATTGAGAGCTACTACACTGCCATACAATGTATGTGATGTGCATTACTATATTTAATCCTCACAAAAAATCCTATCACCTAGGTACTGGTATTACCCATACTGAAGTAAGGAAACCAAGGCTCAGAGAAGTTATAGAATTTGCACCAGTCACGTGGGTAGCAAGTAGTCAGTGTAGGCTTTATCCAGTTCAGAACTCTCTTAACCGTTATGCTACCATGCCTCTAGCAAACCGCCACTCACTATGCAGTCTGCATTCCCTTCCAGCTCCTTATTTTCATATCCTAGTCATGTTTCCACTGCAATGTCTATGCAATTTCTTTCCATTCTTCATTTCCTTTACCACTAGACTAGTACGTGGACACCAGGAAAGCAAGCATGTTAAATCACAGATGATAAGCCCCTTGGCATTTCATGCCTGATCCTGGTAGTAAGGGGCAAAACCCTCCACTGTGAATTCCATGAATGCTGCTACTGTGCAATTGTTTTCATCTACCTATGTCAACAACATAGACTGCTCTGGTAGCAGCATGGGGACCGGTGTCGGCACAGACTGAGGAAAGCCCATTTACAAATGCCATGTCTTCTTTGTTATCTCTTTGTCCTAATCTCATAAAATAAAGCTACCAATCAAAAACGAATACATTAATGAATGATTTGATCCACTGATATGAATCAATCTTTGAGTGACAGTGATGTGGGTTCTTTGCCCCTGACACTGGCGGACTCTATCTTTCCCGAGTCAGGGTCCATCGGCACATACAGTTCCAACAAAGTGCTCAGGTTCCCCTCCGTGGACAAGCAAAGCAGTCACATAGAAGAGAATCCACTGGGGGACCGGATGGTAGAATTAAAGATGGAAAGACAAAATTCTTCATGTTATAAATTAGAACTCATTAAAAGAATTAGTTATTTAAATAAGCCAGACTTTTCTTTCTTAATTTTAGCAAACTGTAAGCTCATAGCTTACATTTTATATTTTGACAGCCTTTATCACCTTCAAAAATTTTTGCAAACACACAGGAATAACAAAGATATTTTAGGTCAGCCTCTCTGAGCAAAAATCACACGTAACTGAATCCACTGCATCGGGCTTATTTATTGCGATTGTTTCCCATGGCTGCGCAGCACGAAGACCTTCTGAACCTGGTACTCAGAGTGCTGCGCTCCTGGAATGACCCCCTGTACCATCTAGTCACAGAAGTGCGGGGTATGCAAGAGGCCCCAGACGCTATCCTCTCAAAAGCCATAGAGATTGAAGAACAGAACAAACGACTTCTAGAAGGCATGGAGAAGATAGTCGGCCAGGTGAGCAGCCTCCTGACGCGGCCTTGCTTTCCTCACAGGTGATCTCTGTGATGAGGAATGAGTTCGGAAATATCTCACTTTGCAGAAACAAGATGCAGGCATTCTACATTCTTGGCTGCTATTAAATAAAGCAAGAGCCAAGTAATTCACAATGATAGATCCTTTTGTAAGTGAGTCTTAGGATTCTACCAAGATTTTTGACAGGTGCAGCCTTCCCTACACCGCACACAAATCCACCAAAAGCCTGCCTCTTCCTGGGGACAAGTGTTTGAAATACGTTCAAGGGAAAGAAAACCACAGAATAGAATTTGCAAGATAAATGTCTCCTTCAGAGCATCTCAAGACATCTGCTATTGAGACTCTTCCCTCATCTTCTTTCTCTGTCCGCCCCAAACCCAAGGATGAGAATGGAAGGGAGAAAAGAGAAAATCAAAATCAGATTGGACGGTGTTTCTTCCTCTCAAGCCTCTCCTCTCTGCTGGAGATATATCTGTCAGGGAAGGAAGGAGACTGAAAGATGAGGCTATAGCATGAATGCTGTCCCACAAGCACTAGATTTCAGTGGGTCACAAAAGATGGGGATGCTTCTTTTCTCAGTTGTTGTTTTTTTTATAATTTACAGAAAGTTTTCCCCATCCTAAATTTTGGGGGTTTTTTTGGGATCCCAAAATCAAAACTTTTATCATTGCATTTAGTCTCCCCAAGTAATTTCTCATACTTAGACTAAGTTAATATTTGCAATATCTCCATTTAGATGGGATAATTTCAACAGGAGTGAGGTAGCATCTAAACAGCTTCCTGAAGATCTCAGAAATAATGTATCATCTCAAGAAAACTATGATTATATGCATAATAGGAGCACTTTAATATTTCTCTTATTGTGCACAAGGTACATGTTATTGTGTGTCATTTTTGTCATTTTCAGGGGAGAAGAATATATCCAACACAAATACAAAGCACATTTTAACCTTGGGACGTACGAAATCAACACCTAGATTTTCAAGTTGTTTTTTTTTTTCATTCCTGTGGGACTATTTTTTGAGGTCACTCATCTGTTCCATAATACTGCATTTTGTTATTTTTCACTGGTTACTTATTTATTCTTCATATCCTTGCCTTTTGCACAGTAAATTTTGTCTTAGGGCTCGAGCACAAAAAATTAAAAAATAAATATAAAGCAAGGCAACATACACATATACACACACATACTTCAAATTCCAATAAGGAATCTCAGGTTTAAAATATATCTGTCCTCTGCAGGAGAAAGTTAGTTTAGCAAATCAGGGTCTACAGTTATCCCACATTTGTACGTAGAAGCCCTTCCAACTAGCAGACATCCAGAGCTCCCAAGCTGGTGACTTGGTCTCGTGGTTCTCCAGGGATTCCCAGCACACTAATCAAGGTTCATCAGTATGAAGACGTATGGAGTTCCTCCCTCATGCTGCTTAGGGTTCTTTTGTTATCACAGTCTTGTTCCCCACCCTACCACCGATCCCTCACCCCCTTTTTATAGGTATTTTTTCCAGTACCTCCCAGCCCAGAGACATCAAAAGAAAGCACATATTCTTCATGGAAATTAGGGGGTTATATGTCCTGGCTAGATTGTGAACATCTCCTGACTATTTCAGCAGAACTTCTTAGTCACAGTCATCATTAGATTATACGCCCCTTAAACCACCTAGTACAATCCTCATCATTTCTAAGGCCTTTAATACACATGCTATACAGGGAACGGTATCCATTCAAAGAGGGGACAGATAAAAGTAATGATGGTGACCTTTCAGAAGAAATACAGTTAAACATGTACATCAGAGACAAGATTCAGGACAAGCAATAGTCCTCGAGTGACAGAATTGTGTCCCTTTATCACACTCATATCTACATTCAAACAGCAACTTTCTGGTTCCCCATCTTTCTACTCCTGTCCAAGCAGACTGCATCTGTGATCACATACATTGAAGAAAACTTACATTTGAGTTCTGCTTCTAATTTTTAGATTACTGGTAGATTTCTGATACAGTGACTCAAAAAAAAAAAATCCACATCTAGAGAGTTTTGCATTCATGGTGTCTTCCCCAAATCTTAATGTGACAATCAGAAGGAACAAAGATAAGCAAATACTAATAAAAGTAATAATAAGTCATTATCTTTTGGGTGATATAGGTTCATCCTGGAGTCAAGGAAAATGAGATCTACTCTGTGTGGTCTGGACTTCCATCCCTGCAGATGGCTGATGAAGACACTCGCCTTTTTGCTTTTTATAACCTGCTCCACTGCCTACGCAGGGATTCACATAAGATCGACAATTATCTCAAGCTCCTCAAGTGCCGAATCATCTACGACAGCAACTGCTAAGCCCACATCCATTCCGTCCATTTCTGAGACAGTTCCTAATGATCCATCCCATAGAAACCTTCTTTTAGTTTTATAGCTTCCTAATGCATGCTTAGCTGTAATGGGTCTCATCTCAAAAAATAAAAATGGACTCTGTAGAGATGTCAAAATCTAAAGATAATTTATCAAAGTTTCTGCTCTTCATTTCAAAGACAATCACAAGAAAATCCATCCCTACCATTGAGAAGTTCCTATTAAAATCTGTCACAAACAGCAGAGGCTAGCATTACAAATAAGACTATTAACAGCTTATTTTGGAATCACCGCAAATTATGATGGGTCAAGTCATTAGATTCAAAGAATTAGGTAATTCTTAATCATGCTAGTCATGCTCCCAAGAAGACTGAATTCTCAGGATTCTTTATGAAAGCCGGCCACATACTGTCAGCCAACTTTTACAGCGTTAGGACAGAAAATGTAAGTGCTAGGAAACTGCCATGGACCCCAGTAGCATGAGCTTTACTGAACTGTCTAAAAATTGTTAGGATACTGTCGTAGTCTTTCCGAGCTGCTCTACCAAAGTACCAGAGACTGACAAACAACAGACACTGATTTCAACAGCATGGTCAGGGGAGGCCCTCTTCCGGTCTCACACTTCTCACTGAGGTGTCACATGGTGGAAGGGGGCTAGGGAGCTCTGTGCACCTCATATATAAAGGCACTAATCTCATTCATGAGGCTCCACCCTCATGACTTAATCACCTTGCAAAGGCCTCACCTATGGATACCATCACCTCTTGGGGGTTAGGATTTCAACATGAAATTTCAAGGGGGACCCAAAGACCACAGCAAACACAAACGTGAAATGGCTTTATCCTCCCTGCCTTCAGCCATGCTCTGTGCCATCTTGTACATATTTCATACGTTCTAGTCCCTCTGGGTTTCACAAGCCCAGTCCAGTCAAGTTTCAATTCCATCTCACATTCGACCTACTTAATGTGTTCCTCTCCTCTACTGAGGCTCAAGGAACCTCCCAGGGAGAGCAGATGCAGTCAATTTCTGCAAGGCTTCTTCTCCCTCCCTAATCAAGATCCTCATTCCTCTGGCTGTGCTGGAATGGGACAGAGGATAAGGAGAGACGGAAACACCCTGACGTCACAGACTTACGTAGAGCTACTGCAGCCTTCTCACAGCCAACAGTGACCCATCTGGAATTCCCTGGGAGTGACAAGTGTCTCTGTTGTGGGGCACCTTGTGATTTTCCAGGACGTTCACCAGTCGGGAATAACTTACTGCATAGTTTTTTGTTTGTTTTCTTTTTACCAGGGGAAACATTCTGGCACCTCCCAGTCTCTGCTGCTGGGCCCTCACTCTACAAATACCCTACTGGAGAGAATTACCTGGCTTAAGGTCAGCTGTCTACTAGCTCTCTCACAGGAAAGTCATACACCATAACCACTCCAAACAACTGAATGGCAATAATATTGGCGTGCATCTGACCCCATCCTGGGATCGCAGGACAATTCTCTTGTCTTTCTGGTCACAGAGACACAGAAAGTTGGATTCATAAAAAGACATTCATCTGAGGAGTGAGGTGCCATTCTCTCCTTCTTTTGGACCAATGAGTAATTATCTTTGTCAATTAGATTGTTGGCCTTAGAAACATTCCTTACAAGGACCCTGAATTGCAAAAGCCTCCTCATCTACTTAGTCCCTTGTTTATTGAGATGGAGAGAGGTGACTGGATTAGTGTAGCTCAGCTTGTTCAACTGCCTCTGCACAATCTGGAATGAGGCCCAATCTCTGCTAGCTCTCCTGGGAAGGCAGTGGTATTGCCAGGCTGTCTCTGCAGCATCTTTAAGGCTTTGGCAGGAATCCCTAGGCAACAGGCAATGGGAAATAGCCCATCCAACATCCTGATGGAGACAAAATTAAAAGGTAGACAGGAAGGAGGATGAAGAGAAAGGAAAGAGGAGGGAAATGGAAGGAAGGAAAAAGAAGTACAAGCCTTGGCTTGTGAAGGAGAAGATGCTATTAGAATACTGTATTTGGTGAAGACCCAAATACATTTGCTTTCATTTTTATCCCCTAAGAGCAAATATCATCTCTTATTCTCCTTTTACTTCCATTTCCTCTCCTCTCTTCCTTTACTACAATTTTCCCTTGTATTAGGACTATTCTTTACTGTTACTAATTGACTTGCCATAGCTCTAGAAATGAACAAAACTGGACACCTCCTAGGATCAGAATTCAAGGCAAGAAAATTGTCTTTGTCACACAAAGAAAGCTTTCACACACGTATAGGAACACTGTCCTGCAAAACCAACCTTTTCCTTCAGAGCCAGGGTTATTCAGTCTAAGAGGCTCCTGTCTCTAGCTGTGATGACCCAAACCTTTCAGAACACAACAGAATACTCTCCCCCAAACCAATCTATCAACCCCTCCCTTTGCTCCTGCATGCATGCAAAATGTCAGCTCTCTCATATTTCTGCTTTCTTCTTTTAAAAGGCAGAAGACTATGGGGGGAGAAAAAACCTGTATGCACTTTCTAACTCATTTATTGCTGGAAATATCTAATTCTATTGTGTTACCCACTTAACTTTCCGTCAATGTCGAGATATTTCCAACAGAGAGGATGGTATTTATCAGAGGTGAAATCTGGCAATAAGGGGGACAATGCAGTTGTAGGAAACATACATTCACCACTAGCCCCCACACACCTCCATGTATTCTTCTCCTAAAAAGTTTATTTCAAGCATAAACTTAAGACTTCAGAAAAACAACCGAGGTGGTGATATTGAAAGGCCTCTCCCTGATTGACTGTGACATATAAACTGAATACTGGAGATTTCAGACAATACTGAGCAGAGCCATAGGTGTTCTGTAGAGTCAGCAAGGGGTAGCTGAGAAGAGGATATTTGGAAAGTATACAGCAATCACTCCCCTGCCAACCAGAGTGAGTCTGCTGTTTCCCTCTTTACAGATTTCCATGTAAGATTACACGTGAAGAAATGGCCCTGCTATAGTAAGAACAGTAGCAGTGGTTACCAAACAGACACAGACAAACGAAAACCCTGGAAGTTCACAGATCTCACAGATGAGCAAATCGCATGTGATGGATACAACAAGAACTTACATCGAGGTTAAAACAAAAAACTCAACTTTCCAAAAGTTGGCTCTCAAACTGTGGAGAGAGGGTGGCATAAACATGTAAATTACTATATTATATGAAAGAGAAAAGTCAGCATAAGAGGTGATGCCAAACAAAGTGCTACAGTGAATCAAAGGACAGCCAGAAGATACCTGGATGGGAGAACAAGGAGGTTTTTTTGGAATGACACAATTGTGGTGGCTTTATGATGGAGCTGTGATGGGATACTGATGGGCAAAAATAGGAAGACAGCCCATCTGCCAATTCACTGAGAATCATTTTATGATGTATCTCCTATACCCTGGGCAAAAGGAACTGAGATAGTAAGACTTAACAGCATTTTAAGGTATCAGTGAATAATCAAGTGCGACCAAAACATAAGAAATGTTTATTTTTTTAAAGAGACATGTGATATCTCTCTTTAGTATGCTCCCATGATATGCTATACTCATTACTGTAGGGTAATAATGGGGAAAATCTTGTAAGGATGTTTTTCACATCGTGGAGGATCATTTATACCAATTTGGAGAGTTTGTATTTATTCTACAAGGCAACAGGAAACCGGAAAATTATAGTAGGAGAGAGCAGTATGTCCAGAATTGGAAAATAAAAACATTAACCTGGTTTGAAGGGTTGTGGGAGTGTGGGACTAGTAGAGAAAAAACAGCAGTCCAGAGACAGGTAGGAATATTATTATGAAGCTAAAAGAAAATCAAAGAGGGCTCTGTCAAGTGAAAAGAAGCAAAGAATGCGAGAGATGTGGGAAAAGAAATGGGCCTTAAATAGACATAGGGAAGGAGGCAGACGAAAGAGTCAGAAAGGCATCCAAAAACATGGAACTAGATGAGTAAGTAAAGGGGAAATTCAGACAGAAGAGAGGAGATAAATTAAGGTTTTGTCCAAGTGCATCTAAATTTTACTTTCTCGTAGTTCCTTGACTTTGCACCAGAAACCATCAAAAATGTTAGTTACGTTAGCAAATCACAGAAATAACACTCAAGAGCCCCTCCTAGACTCTATCAAATACCAGAGCCAAAGCATCACTACCCAGTAATAACAAGCAGTAAGTCAGCAGTCTCTTTCACCACTCAAATAAGACACACATTGTAAAGCACAGTGGATGAATGGAAATAAAATGCAAACAATCCATTTCTTTACAGAGCCAGCCAGACCCCAAACCTAAACAGACCGTAAGTAATGTTCTCTTTCAACATCTGTCCACTTTCTCCAAGACTTTCTCATTCTTTTTCCTGAATCCATCCCTGTTTACTATCCCTTCATTGTCTTACCCTAAGCAGATGGTCAGCTGATCACGAATCAAACAAATAATTAAAAAGCGTCCATTCCTAAGATAATATTCATATTGAAGGACCCTTGAAACTGGAAAGCTTTCTAATTCCCTGAAAATAAAACTCTAACATTGGAATGACTCCTTCCCAGCCTCGTCCCAAAATGCCCAGTGGGTAGCCAGCTGCGAATCCGCTACTCAGTAATCTTCTGCAGTAATTATAACCTACTCGGGTAGGAAAGATAGGGAAGACAAATGAGGCACTGAAAGACATTCAGAAAGTAACGCATGGACAAGTGGAAAAGATAACATATGTTTTAAAAACAGCTACGCTTACACACCATACCAGTGAGATGGGAGCCAGGTGGGCCTAATCCGGGGCGTGGGGGGGATTTTTCAAGAAAGCTCTATATGAATTGGCACTAAGACTTATTCTGCTCCGTTTATACATGATTCTTCGATTCTAAGACTCAGAGCCACTTGTCCCACTTAACTGCATTAAGTCAAAAGAAGAATATACTTAACAGTGTATTTGAAAGTTGCTAAAAGGTCTTAAAAGTTCTTATCACAAGAAAAAATATAACCATATAGTGACGAATGTTGACTAGACTTATTGTGATCATTCTGCAATATATGCAAATATCAAATCATTATATTGTGTACCTGAAACTAATATAATGTTATATGTCAGTGTTAGTAATAAGTAATGATTATATAATCATTATGCTGTATACCTA